GAAAAAAAAAAATCTTAATCACTGATAGGAAACACTAAGTTTGTGAATTGGCCTTTTGAAAACTCCATTAGCAGTGCTTCACGATATGCACAATATCATCTGAGCTAAGAAAAACTTCCAATACTCTTCCTAATTTCCATCGCAGCAGGGGTAAATTGTCTTCCTTTATAATAACTAAATCATTAATCTTTAAATTAGGTTGCACTTTAAACCATTTTGAAAGTCGTTGCAAATTAGAAATGTATTCATTTTCTCAGTAAGATTCCAATGTTGCAATATGGGAATTTTTTGATCGTGTAAACTTTCTTCAGGTAAGGCAGTTAGCAGGGTACCAATTAAGAAATGGCCTGGAGTAAGTGCAGAAAATTCTGATGGATCTTCAGACATTGGACACAAAGGTCGCGAATTTAAACAAGCTCAATTTGAGCTAGCAATGCGGTAAATTCTTCTTGCGTTAGAAGTTGTTCACTTATGGTTTGCTTGAGATGTAACTTTGTAGATTTGACTGCAGCTTTCCATAATTCTCCAAAATGTGGCGCTGTGGGAGGGTTAAATACCCACTTAATACCTTCAGTAGAACAATATTTATTAACCAATTAATTTTTTTTCAAAGAATTTATTACTCTTTTCAATTCCTTATCTGCAGCAATAAAATTTGTGCCACAATTGCTATGCACTTCTACTGTTTTTCCCCTTCGAGATACAAAGCGCTTCAAAGCGGCAATAAATGATTCTGATGTTGGATTACCTACTAATTCAATATGTATAGCTCTTGTAGTAAATCGCACGAATACACAAATGTAGCATTTGATTGGTTTTACTCCTTGACCTTGCCTGGGCTTCACTTGAAATGGCCCGGCATAGACAATGGTAAGTCAGACATTATCTGTGTAGATGCTTTAGCTCGTACACGATGACATTTCACACATTTGAAAATCTGTTGTCTTACAACTGACCTAGCGTGGATTATCCAATATTCTCTTCTAATCACCGATTGCAAAAGCAGGAGGCCAGCATGAAAATGGGATTCATGAAAATGATTCACTATAATCTGGGTTATATGATGTTTCTTGGGCAACAAAATAGGATATTTTCTGTTCTGCGCGATGTTGGCTTGTCTTAATCTTCCTCCGATGCGTATAAGTCCATTCTTATCAATAAAGGGGTTCAAAGAAAGGATCTTACTATTTGAATTTAACGGTTGGTTCTTCTTAAGATTATTATTCATTGGAAAATTATCCTTTTGAACTACTCTAACAATTGCATTTCTAGCGTATTGCAATTCTTCGGTTTTAAGGTAGCCTTTAATCCTTGTTGCGGTAGATTTAGCTGAATTATTCGCAAACTGAAAACACCATGCGATGATTCTTTTTCAGTTTCAAGAATGATGAAACTTCATTAAGGACTGGGATTTGCGAAGCGACTGTTCCAATTGAAAAAGAAACATTTTTCCATTGTTATTTTAAAGTTCTAAAAATGGTAAGTTGATAGAGAACGGGATATTATTTGAATTAAGCCACTGAGGACCTGTCCACCAGTAGAAAGTTCTGAAGACCTCTTGATGTGCAATCAGCTGGATTCTCTTTCCCTTTTATGTGATTCCAATGCGATGATGGTAAGACTGATTGAATTTCTGAAACGTGGTTGGCTACGAAGGTTTGCCAGCGTGTGGGTTCTGATTATATCCATTACAAAACTATCATTGAATCACACCATGTGTAAATATTGTCAACATGAATTTGTAATGAATTCTGCACAGCTTGAACCAAATGCACTAATAGAACGGCAGAGCAGAGTTCTAAACAAGGAATAAAAATTACTTTCAGGAGAGCTACACAAGTCTTTGATGTTAATAGCTGCACCGAAACTGAAGAATTATTTGAAGGCTTTAAATAAATCACTGCGGCGTAAGCTTTCTCTGATGCATCACAATGAACAATGAAGAAACAATGATGTTATACATTTGTAGCTTTGGGTAATAACACTCTCCTAGGAATACGAATGCATTCAAGATTTGCGATATCTTCATAATAGATTTTCCATCGTTGACTGATTTCAACTAATAAGGGATCTCCAACGAGATTTGCAATTTCCATATATCTTGAATCTTGGAATTAATCTTGGTTAAATCTTGGAAGCTTTCATATAAATTCAAAGGTAATGTTACACTTGGAATGTTTTCTGTAATTTTGCCTATTATGTAAGCGGGCGTAGAAATAATGAGGTGGAAACAATAAGTCAACTTCTCCAGGAGTATTGAAAGTACCTAAGCACGACACTAATATCTTTGAATCCTTTATGTTCAATCCTAAATTGATAGCTGTTTTCCCGAAGAATGAATGATTTTTCACTACCTGAATCTAGTAAACATCTACAATTTATGAATTCTTAATTAAAGCAGTACACAAATGCATATGACTATGTTTACCATTAGCATGAGCTCCAAAATGGTGATTTTCATAGTTGTTTGCACAAACAGTCGGAGAAACCTCAATCAACTTGTTTTCTGTTTTAATTTGCAATTTTGGGACGAACACTTGTGCTTCCGTTGAAGGGAATCTAGATACATTTTTTTGGTTTGAAATTATTTTCTAAATGCAAAATGCTTAAAACAATGTTTACAAGTATTTACATTCTTACACATTTTAACTTTATGGACATTCAACAAACAATTAAACCAAAGTTTTTCATAACAAACACTATTCGTTTTTGCACTGGTAAATTAAAAAAAATTAGAACACTAGTGTAAAAAATGATCTTCTTTACAAAATAAGCAAGTAGATTTAGTAATCAGAGAAGTAACCTTATTATACACTGTTTTATGTGATTTATGCGTTTTGTTAATTAAAGGTTTACTGTTCTGTAATGTTCTAGCATAATTCTTCAAAAATTCTATCAAGTCATTCAACTTTGGTATTTCGTCTTTTTTTAATTGACACTCCCACCACAACTTTGTCGAAACATCAAGTTTTTACAAAATACTATACATCAACAAAGTATCACTGAAATTATTTATCTTTTGATCTAATATTTCCAATGAGTGAATTATTTCATTTACATTATCTACTAAATTTAATATTGAGGATGCAGATTCCGTTTGTATTTGTGAAACGTTAAGAATTCTTTTAATAAAAGCAAACATCTGTTCTCTTTTATTAGAAAATCTCACTTCTAGTAAATTCTAAGCAAAACTGAAATTTTGATTAGCTATGGGGATTGACTGAATAATGAATTAAGCATCATTTTTCAAAGAACTTTTTAAATATTGTAATTTTTGAGCTCCAGAAAGATTTGGAACACATTTTGTTGCAAACATTAGCATTAAATAAATCTTTAAATGTTATCCATTCTTTTAAATTTCCGTTAAATGTGGGTAAAGATAATTTTGGTAACTTTAAACTTTCAGAGATTGATTCAGGTGTTTGTAGACATTTGCATTTACGACCTTGTCGATCTTTAACTTAAGAATAATTTTTAAATGAACCTCCTCAATTTTCTCTAAAATCGACTGTTCTTCCTCAACGAAAGTGTCTATATTATCATCATCACAATTTGTATAAATTTCGCTAAACAGGTATTTGAAATCTTCCTTAAAGATTTTACATTTTTCTAATATTAATTCAGCTTTAGCATTATCTAAGTTATCATAAACTATTTTCTCGATGAATTTCGTTAACTGTGTTTTCAAAGCTCTCTTTCGTTTTCTTTTTTTTTTTCTGCATCTGACATTTTGAAAATATTCTAAATTCTCGATTTTACCAATGCTTTAATTACAATAAATTACCAATAAAGAAATGCCAAATGCAATTAAAATGCGTTAACGTTTTCACTCACCTCGAACACGGTATCCATTGCGTAACTTTTGAGAATTCTAAACCGAAAGTTCATTCTCAACAACATCATGAAAACGCCGAATTTTTTTTTTTTTTTTTTTGACAATCGCGCCTTTTCCTCGAATCTCCGGTGTATGATGACCAAATTAATGTAGCGTAGCGGTATCTTAAATTTAAATTAATAAACATAAGAATACATCAGTGCGAGCGGACTGTAGTTTGACTTTTATTTTCAGCGATTTCCACTTTAGAACAACAATACAGCAAAAAAGGTAAAGTATAAAAGTTACAGTTAGCGTTTACAATAATGCAAAAACAAAATGCGAGCTATGCATATGATCTGCGCATTGCAAAATAAGATCTCACAAACAGGCAGACGACTCTGGTGGCCGAAACAGGATGCATGAATAGTGAAATATCCTCTTGCACATTAATCCATCTTCCGCATGCAGCACTATGATGACGAGTGTTTTGTGCTCATTGAAATCTTACTTTACACATCATGATATCAACCCAACATCAAGAATTATTTTATCGGGTACAATTTGATGCAAGCTCTGCTCATGTGTAATACTCCCCAATCTGCTACTCTGAGCAATCAACTTAGTTTTGCAGATGTATGAAAACTTGCATTCATACTATATCTTCAAAGGCAACCTACAGCCCCTTCTAGCAGAACAGCATGTGAGACACTTCCCCAACACACAACCAGTTATGGCTCGGTCTTGACCAAAATATGCACACTAACTTTGCAAAGACACCATAAGCTACAACAAAAGAACTCTGGTAACAGATCACAATTGCCTGGGTAGAAATACCTCTGTATGCCATCCAAAGTTTCTTTGACTTTGTATGTCACCACCATTTAGTGGTACTTATCTTACCATGTAGTAATACTGCTCTTGGTGGTAACATTTTACGATTATTGAACATTCTACTTATACCAGAATATCTACTGATTTATTTTGATATAATAAAGAACCTGTAGAATAAATATGTTTATTTTTTATTCTCAGTGATGTTGCAATTTTCATGGCCAGCAACATAGTTTTCCGAATGGATTTTGAAACTTGATATCATGAATTTCAAGCTAGAAATACCTTCTTCTAAAAATTTCACATATAATTATTCTAATGCAACAAACACACAATTGAAAATAATGGATACCTGGAGTCTATTGATCTTTGCATGAAGCTGCAGCTGATGAGGTGATGTTTTATACTGTAGCCATAATCCAGTCTGGTAGGATCTCCTTAAAACTCTCACTAATGGTTTTGTCATTAACATTCCCTCAAAATCCACCTAAAGAAGAAAAAAAAAAAAAAAAAAAGTTTGTTCTCTTTTATCTCATGGGAAAAAAAAAAAAAAAGAAAGTAAGAGTTTTCTATTCAGGGAGAACAACTAAAATTGTTCATATGAGAAGAATTCATAAGTTAAAAAATAAATAATGGATAAAATTTTCATAAATTTAAGGGAAGGAACATAAATTATTGAAATCAAATATCACGATGTAGAAGTTGACAGTCTAAAAGACTGCACTATGAATTTGCAGCCTGAATCACAGATTAAAAAAAAAAAGAAGGATATTTAAATTCTTTCAAGCAGTACAAGCCATTACAAATATCTTTTAATAATCACCATGAGAAAGTTAAAAAAAAAATAGAGCCATAAAAGGTTCATAATTACTAACAGGATTTATTGCAAATTAAATGTATTTAAAATTACATTAATGAGATAGATTATTAAAAGATTTATTAAAAGTTGTTTTTACTCCTTTTTATCCATTCAACTTATTAAACAGTTATAACTTAAAGAGATAAATATCTTGTATCACAAAGAAGGGTAACATTCAAGAAACTCATTATTTGCTAGACACCGCAGATAATAAATCAAAGGTCTTGCTCAATGACAAATTATTAAAGCTGCAGTGATAATAAATGCATACTGATGCAACATTAATATAATTTAACGGCCCAAATTTTTAGAATGGCTTCATTAACATATTCACATAAGCACAAATATTCTTGTTTTTCACTGTGAGATGACACTTGAATTCATGTTTCACTTAATCTGGCGGCCTGGCACTATTGTTCAGTAAGACACTGTACGTGCACCTATTCACCCAGTAGTTTAGAGAAAAAATTATTGATCACCTTTTCACCAACAATCACCACAGTGAAGAAATCACGATTGTAAAGCTAATATAGTCAATACAGGGGGCACTTTTTTTTATTCATATAAAGGGTATGCAAGAAAAACAAGATAAGTACATAAAAAATGTTAGAAATGTTTATATGAAAGAAAAGGTAGATGGTATGGCATAAAATTTAAAAAAAAAAAAAAAAAAAAAAAGTAACGGCATATTGCAATTTTTGGAAGTATTTTAAAGAATACACTCTTTAAAATACTTTAAAAAATTGCATCAAAATGAATAAACAATTATGTTAAGTTTTATTTCTGAACTTTTACTTTATAAGTTATATTTATTATGTTCAGATAAAATAAAATAAACCCTACTTTTTTTTTCAATTAATATATATTAAATTCCATTACTTAATTTTTCAACATTATGCCAATATTTTATAGTAACTAAATGAATTTCATTTTTAATGGCACAGAGCATCTGACTGAATATTCAAGCATGACCCACCAGTGATGCATGCCACCTGATGGAAGGCTGAGCATAACTCACTGGTGATGCATGCCACCTGATGGGATACTCAGAGAGACTTGAATGTAGCCCAATGGTGATGCACACTGCCCGATGGGACAGTTGAGCATGACTCACCAGTGATGCATGCTAGTGTGAACATGTTAAAACATTTCTATATCAGATTAAAACCATATAAATCCCATTTAATATGATATAAATTCTTTGCAATTTCTAAAAATTACAATACTCTTTACATAAATGAATATACAAAAATCAATACCCACTTCACTCAAGTGTACATACCTCTACTTTATTTTCCAACTGCATGAATGATTTCGGCTTCCTTCCAATTTTCAATTCATTGTGATACTGCTCGTAAGCTACTTCTATTATTTCACTTTCTCTTACACTAAGAGGTTTGAAACGTTTACTTTTCTTCTTTCTGCCTTCCCAAACAACTCCAGTACTGTCAATAGTAATAACATTTTCTTAAATTAAAATATTTGGCATTATACATAGTCAGATAACACATAATGCAATAATAATAACTCCTCATACTTAAATATTTGTACACTTTTTAACATTGAAAATCAAAATATATTGTTATATTTGTGCTAAAAAAGTGAACTGAACAGGCATATGAATAGCTAAGGTTGAGGACATGAGTTGTAACAAAAAAGGCATTGGCAAGTTATCACAATAACCTTATCATCAACTGAAGTTTTTAGTAGTTGTTAATAGAAAAGTATCAATTTTATGGTATATTAGAATGTACTTTTTTGTCTATTAGGGTCCAACTCATGCAGTTTATTTTTGTAGACATATCACTAGCTAAGCTTCTAAGCCAATAAATTTGGTCCTAGTTATTATCTTCTTCTTAACAGAGATTAGTAACATTTCTGCCCATTTTAGTGGACACTGCATTATCTTAAGCAGTTTTCCCACTTATATGTACTGCTATGTGCAAATACAACTGTTTTACTCTTCAAATTTAAGTGACAATTGAATTACTAGTTTATCAGCAATACAGAATACCTGTTTGCTTCTATATAAATAGATTATTTTTACAGCACTACATAAATAAATAATTTTTTTTTGTTTCAGTTATTAAATTAGAAGTTCAGATTAAGTTACTCTATTCTTATTTTTCATTGTTATATAGATTAAAAAATAAAATTATAATAATTTTATCCTGAGAAATATTTTAGTTCTTGTAAATAGAAAACCAATAACAGCATATAGGAATGAAAAATTGGGGAAGGGGGGGAGAAAACCTTAGACTAATGGAATATTAAAATTATTAAAATACATTAATAAACAAGGTACCTATGTCAAACTGCCCTCATAATCAATATAATTTTATTTAAAATATAGGTAAATCTAAGCTGCTTTCTCACAAATTTTACATTTTATATTGGAGTGTTTCCTTTCAAATTACAAACATGGAATGCAAGAAAACAGGCTTTCAAAAGAGAAATACTTTAGGAATATCAGAATTTTGAGTTTGATGAACAGTTTAATCAGAATAAGTCTTTAGTAATTTCCTTTTTAAAAAAATGTATTGATTATGACAAAAACTAAGTGCAGGGTTAGAGAAATAAATTAAATAAGCCAAAACAGAAAAGAATTTCAAAGGATATTTATATTACATAAAAAATTATGAAATCAAAATACATTTCAAATTAATATTTAGAATGCTAGATTGGAATTAAATATCAGCAGTACCTTTAAAAGTAAATTTACATACAAAGTTAGAACTAACAAAACAAATAATAGTAAACAATTTAATATTTTAAGTTTGAAAGATAAACAAAAACAAACAAAATAAAAATCTACATACCTGGTTATTCCCATGTACATAATTTCAGCTTTAGCTTCATTATTCACTAAAGATATACCAACACCTTGAAGTGACACTGTAATTTCTTGTTCAACTCTTTCAAGCTCACCAGCCTATTCAAATAAAATTGAAATCAAATTAATAATTTTCAATAGTTTTATGCAAAATGTTTAATACAGGTTGATCTTTATTTTCATTTCCAAGCTTATGCTGAAAATCAAATTTATAGTTTATAAGCATCAATCAGTAATTAACATAAATAGCTAACACATTTGTGATTTAAACAATTACAAATTCAATTAACCCTTTCACAATGGGTGACTCATTCACCAAACTGTTCTCTTGGAACAACCGCTAACAGGATGCACTATCTTGCTGGGATAGGCACTATGCATGCTTTAGAGGGGAAAAAAGAAATTCATGTATATTAAATATGTGGTCCAATTATTCCAATTTTCGACACATTATACGAAGAACACTCAGGTAATTGTCAGAATTAATTTGAAAAAACCTTATCCTTATATTTTTCTTGCCATTTGATGTATATAAAATGTTTTGCAAATGATAAGCAAAATATTTACTTCAAAGCTAGCCAAATGTGAGCCTCTACACATTTTACAAAAAATTTAAAATATTCAGAAGCATCAAGATCATCCCCATGTGTTTATATAAGCTAATACAGTTAGCAGTAACCTCTGTTAATTTACATTAATGTTCTGTTAATTTAATTTACATTATTCAACCCACAATTTCTACTTTGATTCACAAAATATGAAAGCTTAATTTCCCATTCAACACACTGAATATTTTATTTTTAAACAAAAGATCTATAAGATTTTAATTTGGTCAGATATCAGAATTCCTTTAAGTTTTGTATACTTCCAAGCAGTTTAGAAAAACTGTGGTTTTTGAACATGTTTTCTTTGTCTTTATCAATACATAATATCACATCTACTGAAATTTCTCCATTTCGTATATAATTGTCTTCACATATTAATTAAGAAATCATATTTGCTCTCTTCAAATTTTCAGTTGTTTGATAGCTTAATATTAGTCCCTATATTAAAACAGCAAGTTTTTTAAGATAAAAATAGCAACAAAATTCATTTATATTTCTGAAAAGCAATTAATATGATTTTCTCCAGTTCTACAATGAAAGCTAATAACATATATTCTAGAAATGTCTCGCATATCCTGTGCATACTTTAAATACACTCTTAGACAAAAAAAATAACACACCAAAAAGGAGTTATCCGAATGGAGCGAAAATTGGTAGAAGTGATGTACATGTACAGAAAAACAAACGGTTAGAGTTTGAGAAAAATTGGATGATTTATTGAAGTGATAGAGCTTTACAAAGTGAAGTCAGTAACGTGTTTGTCCACCTCTGGCTCTTATGCAAGCAGTTATTCGGCTTGGCATCGATTGATAGAGATTGCGGATGTCCTCCTGAGGGATATCATGCCAAATTCTGTCCAACTGGTGCGTTAGATCATCAACATCCTGAGCTGGTTGGATTGCCCTGCCCATAATGCTCCAAACGTGTTCAATGGGAGAGAGATCCGTCAACCTTGCTGGCCAAGGTAATGTTCGGCAAGCAGTAGAAACATGTAAGCCCAGGGTGGAGTGACATGAAGGGCAACACAACGAGCCTTAGAACTCTGTTGATGTACTGCTGTGCTGTAAGGTTGCGACAAATGACACCCATAGGTGTCCTACTATGAAATGAAATGAAATGGAACCCCAGACCATCTATCCTGGTTGTCGGCCTGTCTTCCGGAAGAAAGTCAGGTTGGTATCCCACCGCTGTCCGGGGCGTCTCCAGACTCGCCTTCGCTGATCATCGGGGTTCAGTTCAAAGCGGGACTCATCACTGAAGACTATTCTACTCCAGTCATTGACATTCCAGTGCAAATGAGCCCAAAACCACTGCAAACAGGCTTGACGTTGTACAGAGGTCAAAGGTAGGGGCTGTGAGTGTCACTCTGATGACTGCTTGGTCTTCACGTTCTGTCACTTCTCTACGCCTACCGCTTCCTTCTTGACGCTGTGTGTGGTCATGGTTCACCCATACCTGCCAACGTCGTCTAATAGTGGCATCGCTCCTGCTCAAATGTCGAGCTATTCGTCAATAAGACCAACCGGCTTCTTTGAGTCTAACTACATGACCTCTCACAAATTCTGACATCTGCGCATATCGTTCACTCACCTGTATGCGAGGCATAGTTACTATCTACAAGAGTACACGGAATGAAATTTGTGAAGAATTTATTACCTGGAATCGTAATTTCTCCTCTTAAATATCCTGCCAGTTGCACTGTAGCGACAAACGTTCATTCAATGGCAGCTAAAATGTCAAATTTTGCATTTTCTGTCGAAGCCTGTATGCATATCAATTTGTGTCCAATTTGCTTTTTTCTTCTCGCCATGTCGTGGTGCATCTTTTTTTTTTTTTTTTTTTTTTGTCCAAGAGTGTAAATATACATACTGTGCATACTTTTCTCAATATTCATTTCAATTTATTGAACAGAACTAAAGAAAAAGTTTATATAACTATGCTTATTCATCAATAATAAATTATTTTTATGCTTCCGTTTCTTATAATATGTTCTAAAAATGAAGTGTGCCATCAAACTGAAAACATTAACATTTTAATAAAAGGGGTAATACAATAATATATAATATTGAATTTCTGTTAAATAGTCAAATTTTCAAAAAAATTTGACTATTTAACAGAAATTCAAATGAATGCATTTTTTAGCTTCTTAGTGGGTAACTGGATGAAGTAATATGTAGCAGCTAGATCAATAATTTACAAACTGACATGAATGGTTTCAGATTTTTGAAATTATACTGATAATTTTTTTAAGTATATTTGCACACTAATGAATTAAGTTTATAGATGGAACTATCATCAGAAAATTTCCTTTTATAATACAGCATTCCTTTCATCATACAACTAATGTTTTTTATAAAAAGTACATTTGAGTCTATTACAATTTAAGAAATGAGTTTTAATAACTCATAAGGGTGGATCCCTCAGAAATTTACTAATACTCCTTCATCCATAAGAAAATAATTTTATATTTATATAAATCAGCTGAAATCATTCCTGACAAATTTCAAAATTTTCAGTTTCATGCAATTTTTTAAAAAATTATCAAGTACATTAAGCATAAAACAGAAATTAAACTGAAAAGAAAAAATTATAAAAGCATATATGCAATGAAATAGAATGCATTATTACAAAACCACTACAAAACAGCTGCATATGTGGAAACTATTACAAAGCAAAAAGTAACAAAATTCTTGAAAACGACATGTAAGCATATTTTAAGCAAACATTTTGCACTTAATTTTATCTTCTTTAATGAATCCCTTTCTTTTAACATAACCGCTCTAAGTATGCAAAAATGTAGGGAAACTCTTAACCGCTTAACCTTACAAATTTTTTTGAAAACAATTGCAAAAAATCATCACATTTTTTAAAAATTTTATTATTAAATACAACAAAACGAAACAAATCAAAATATGTAGGTTTTAAGTTGAATTTTAAATTTTTTGAAGGTGTAAAAGCATTTAGTTTTAATATTAGTTTACTATCCCTGAGTTATCTTCGGGCAAACGAGAAAAAAGTTAAATATTAGTCTTTGTATGATAGTTTTAGAAACAAGGACAACACAGAGTGATACCTGATGTTCTACACTGGTATCTGGTCTCTTTTTTTTCTGGCTTACCACTAAAATATCTTTCATGGGAGCACAGAGTACACTGTCTCGTTGGATTTAATTAAAAAAAAAAAAATTCCATCTCTTCATAATCACTATCTGAAAAATCATCGCTTTCGCTATCTTGCATCATCGCCATTATTTTATTTTTTTCAACGTATGTATCCTTCTTTATACATTACTAATTCACAAGCCAACATATACTATACAATAGGGAAACACATGACCAATCCCTCCAAAAGAATTGCACAACCAACAAAATTTGGCAACCTGCCAACAAAACTGAATATTTCCTTTCATTTCCTCCAGGACGATTGTCCTAACAAATTCTGCTTCGCCCGAGTTTTTACAGGATAATAATTAATTGCAATATATACGTACCCGAGATAACTCATGATAATCAGGCAAGTGGTTAAACATACATTATTCAAATAATTTTATGAAAAATTTATAATTGTTCTGTACTTAATCATAAAAATACACAGTTTCTTAAATGCAAATAAATATCAATAAAATAATATTTACTTCTTGAGCAGCAGTAGCAAGAGCTAAATCTTCAGTAAACATCAAAACTCGTTGCATACCATCTAAAAATGACACCCAATATGCTTTCAAATCTTCATTAATAGTAAAATCTCCAATTCCATCCTGGAAACAATTTATATCATCAATACAGTGCACTATTACATGCAATGCACATAGTTTATTCAAATATACATATTTTCAATTATTAATATTTTCTGGAAATGCAATCACATTTCAAATTAGCAGTTTCTTAAAAAATTACTTCACATTCAAAGTAAAGTTAACATTAAAAAATATTTTTCAATTTTATTTAAAAAATATAATTTAATAATTTAAAATTTTATAATAATTTAAAAAATATTTTTTATTTTTTTTATTTTTAGTTATTGTTAGAAATTAAGGAAAAATTATATGGATAAAAAATTATTCTTATTCTATTAGGATGCCAGTTACATCTATTCTGGATTGTGAATGAATTTGCTAAGCAGTTATATAGAATACTGGATTATAAATTCTGCAAATCTGCATTTTATGCCAGAATGAATAATACTTTCCAGAAGAGGTGACTATACATCATAGTAATATGAAATGGTTTTAGACCTATATTTACTCAATAAATGAACTGATTGCTATTCAGTTTTTAATCACTTCATTGTTCATTTCAAGGTACATCATGATGGTAAAATTTTTTCTAGAAGTGTAAACTTTTTGGGGCTCTTTTTCCACATAAAAAAACTTAGATAAAGGAAAAACAGGACAGCTTTTTATTCATATTATTTCAATATTTTTCAATAAAAGGTTCATAAATAAGATTTCATAATAAAAATCATAATTAAGTTATGGCAAGAACTGCACAAACTTAAAAATTACCATTTTGAAATCACTCTACATATTAGATAACTAGAATGCAGTTTCCTTAAGAAATTACACAAAAGACTTTTTCACTTATTTGATATAAAAAATTGGCAAGTAAAAACCTTTGTTTTTGTTTATATGAAAATAAAATTTACATAAACATATATAGCATTGTATATGCACTATTTTAAATGTGAAAACAAGTAGGTTATAATTTTGTCCGCAGAACAAAATAGTTAAATTAAAGCCCCCATTAGTTTTACTCCCAAAAAAGAAACATTAAGAATAAAAGTGAAAGAAATCAGAAATTTGTTTCATACATTTCAGATACCCTACGTTGTGGACAATATGGAAATTAGTATGAATATTCAAAGTTTTATTCTAAAACTATGAATTATTCAGTATAGGTAGAAGTCGAAAGTAACTTAAAACTTATTCCTGGCTAAATGAAACCTTTTTATACCTTCACTAAATCGTGCTCTCCACTGCATTTTTCACATTTCCAAGATAAAGTTCTTTTTTCTAGTGGATTCTTCCAAGCAAATAAAGCATAGGATTTTGAAGGAAGGTTTACTTCCTCTGAGTCTCTGTTAAATAAATAAAAATACTGAAAAATGCTTTCAATGTAAATTGTAAATGAACATAGTTAATTGAGGTAAAGTTTTTTTTTTTTTTTTTTTTTTTTTTTTTTTTTTACCAAGATGGTTTATAAAAATGAAGTAATTATAGTAAAAATAAGAAATAAATGTTTATTAAATTAATTTTATTTCTATTTAAAATTATGGCTTGCATGCACACACACGAAAAACTACAGAGAACAACTGAATATTAAATGTAGAAAATTAAAAAAAATAATAATAACTCGGTATTGAGAAACAAACATTCTACTAATGCACATACTGATTAGTCTGCTGGTAAAGTTTAGGATATTCAGGAGAGTATCATGAAATCATTTTTATACAAAACTAAAGCTAATTAATGAAGAAAAAAAGGGCAAACAAATATCACTACAAGCGTAAAAGACTTCAACGTTCAGAAAGATTTCTGGGCCCACCAGCGGCCAAGCAAAAAAGTTGCTGAACACTAGTAGTTCGATCAGAGTCCCACAAATGGACTGACTGCAAAAGCATTTTTGTGATTTTCCTCAGGCGTAGCATGTATATGAGCCAGTTTCCTTTAGAAAGTACCCCATGAAGGCACTCCTCTCCTTAGGCACATAGCCCTCGAAGCTTTGTCCTAATCAAATAAACCAATCAGGAAGATTTCTAATTTCATCCTTCAAGAAATATGTTAGCTTAGAAGAGAAAATATGTGTGTCGCTCACTCATTCACCTTGGCTGCAATAATAAAAGCTTACCCTTCAAAGGATATTATCAACCAGAAATCAAATCTGTTATGCGAGATCCAAAGACATTATCAACCAGAAATCAAATCTGTTACGCGAGATCCAAAGACATGCAAAAAATAGGATGATATTTTCTAGTTATCTTCTGATCTCTGTTAAGTTCTGAAGTACAGTTCATGAAATTGTACGAGGTCTTGATCTGTTCTAAAAGAATAAAAAAGAATTGCACTGCTGATGAATCTTAACATTTTACTGACCGATAGTCTATTAATAGACTTTTTTCGCCAATGCCTACCGATGGATCGCCCGTGAAAACCTTTTTTCTCAGGGCTACCTAAAAATAGACTATCAATCGATAGCCATGGAGATAAATAATTGCCATTTGCTATATCATCTGCATTTTATTATTAGGGAGAATCTGCGGCTGAGTGGCCGGTCCAACGTGCGTATGCTGTTGAACCACTAGCGGTTGGTAAAATGTTAAAGTTTCCAGCGATACAACTATTTATAAACTATTATGTTTCACAATGATGACATTTATTGAGTTGCTTTTAAACAATTACAGGTGAAATCAACTCCAAGCACTTCTTTACACACATGGATTCTTGTTTCAGTTTACGAGTATGCAAATCTTTCCTCTTCATCCAAGTTCAGGAACTTCTTATTGAAATAGTTATCTCATTCTTCATACTATATGATGATAGAATCCAGTCAGGTGCAAGTGCAGATATAATACAATACAGAAATCGAAGCTTTCATGTGCTGATTTCAGAGGATAGCACATCTCATTGAGTAAGCCTCCTTCTAAAGCCAAGGGTGTGCCCCACAATTAAGAAATATTGAAGTCTTTTCCTGTTTATTAATTCAGGATTATATATGTTTACTAGTTCAAGAGTCATCAATCATAGGTTTACTAGTTCAAGAGCCATCAATCATAGGTTTACTAATTCAAGAGTCATCAAGAAAACACGGGTTATCAATGACTGTGGTACTTCTAATGTCTGCAAAAGTTCATATGCAGTAACACGTGTCTGAGACACAGCTAAATTCAATCTAATCTAGTCTTTCGGATCGATATTATCATCATAGATGGACATGAAACTATGGTTTCCATTGCATTTTCTTGTTGGATGTTTTCAGATTATGCTGTTAACATGGCAAAACTGTGTATGGATTCAAAGCCATAAAGCAGACAGCTATGAACAAACGGCTGATTTAAAAGTACTTTAGAGTTAAGCTTTAACAATGAGTTTAATGTAACTGCACTTTTCTGTTATCTCATACATCTAGGAGAGAGGTACTCTACTACAACATTGGAAGCTCCATAAAACAGTTTGACAGTTTTGTTGTAAAAAAGTCACATTTTTATACAGGTAGGATGTTTATAATAACTATTTTTTTCTAACATTTAATTTTTTATATCAGCATTTTAATATTTTTCAATTCATAAGCCACATTTTCTTCAGCTGACAAATAATTTGAATCACTCTACATAGAGATGCAAAGCTTCCTCACTAATATAAAATTTTACAAATTCATTCATTCTCTGTCATCTGCTTTAATAAATACATAAACTAAATAAATTATGAGATTAAACACAATGCTTTTCTTAGATATTTTTAATGTATTCTAACATGCCAAGATATTCTAATTTAAATAATATTATACTTTTAATAATATATTTTCATGCACATTCACATTAGGAAAAATACATTTTGTTAAGAAAATTTCCAACACCAACCCTTGTGAAAATGAAATGGCCAAATTTTCCAGGTTATTTACTAAAAGTGCAGCAGCATGACCAGGAATGTAATCTTCAAATGTAATTATAACAGAAGAATCAGCAGTCTGACAATTAACCATTAGGCCTCCTTTCTATTTAAAAAAAAAAAAAAACTGATTTAAGAAAATAAACAAAAATATCCAGCGTCATGGTTTAAAATAAAGTTCACAAAACCATTTTCTTATTTTCATAATTCTAAGTTAAAGCTGGAGAAAGGCAAATAATGTATTTAGAAAGACTATTCTCACCTAGATTTCATAACAAACAAATGTTAAAATTAAATCTCAGTTTTTCATAGTCACTTTTCAAAAAAGAAATATTTCATGTGAAACAAATTAAACAATATGTATGAAAAATACCTTCAATATTCTCCTCACTACCGTTTCATGAATTTTTGTATATAAAAAATATTTTCCATAAAGGTAACAAATTTTTATGACAGAAGTTCTTTATTACTACAAAGACAAAAGATCAGCCTTTAAAATAAAGGATAATATCATATCATCACTGCACACTTTTTAAAAACTTAAATTAGCTGATAGATGTTACTGTAAATTTGTTAAAGTAAAATATACCAAAAATTAAAATATAAAAATATATTGTGATAGTATATTTTTATATTTAAATATAAGATAAGATATATTTATTGATCAAGATAAAATATTTCTCCACTATTAACAAATATATCAATAATAAATCATACTAGCATCATTCTAAAGAGCAATAAAAAATTTTTGTAATTACACTTATCCATGTTTCGTGCTATGTTAAAAGCATGTAAATATTTACGAATTAGGTTACAAAGCAAAAATGCATTTATTAGATTATTTGAAATTTATTAATTATGAATTTCAAAATTTTTGTCTTTGTGAAACATTAGTTCTAAATTTCTTACTTTATGGCTTATTCATTCAATTATAGATAAGAAATACATAGACATCCTATGATACACAAAAAAATTTCACTTTACACACACACACACAAAATAAATAAAATAAAGGGGGGAGGAAGAAAGAGAGAATATGAGTATTACACTCAATGAATGTTTAATGGAATGATCAAAAAAAGGGGGAGGGGGGACTTAATTTTTGCAACAAACAGTACAACTAAACTGTGTTTGCAAACATTTGTATAAAGAAATTTATATATATATATATATATAAATTGAGTCACGTATGCTGCCATATTTAATATTTTCAATACCATACACCAAACTTCTAGGCAGACAAAATTATAGATATTAGTGTCCTAAAAGATTCATATGATTAATGAGATATTAAAAATGATCACCTTCACCTCTTTTATATTCCAGTTTCTTGTCACTCTAGTCAACCTCCCCCCCCCAAAATTCAATTTACCATCAGCAATGAGACATCTTCTATATCCTTCCCTTGTGAGAGTTACACAACATAATCATTTTTTTACTTTATGCAGATTGTGTATACTTAAGTAATTTCTGTTTTTGCTAAATGTTAACATTATTTTTGGTCTTATGTCTTATTAGAATAATTTGGTAAGTTTTATTTTGGGCCCAGATATGTTGAATTTTTTTTTTCTACTTTTAATTATAACTGTATTTTCATTTTACACCATATGACACAAATGTTTTAACATTTCTTTTAAAAAGCAGAGAAGCTGCAGTTGCACCACTCAAATGAATTTATTTTTATATGAAAAATATTAATTGTAGTAATGAAAAGAGCTGTGTAAAATAGTACTGAATTTTTAAAGGAAATACTGAAAACAAATTAAAACAAAGAGAAAAATAATTTCAGAGATTAAAATTAAATACATTTCCAAAGAATAAATAATTGACTTTCAATACCAGAAGTTGAACCATTGCATTATATTGCATGATTTTCTTTCCTCCCCACAGACATGAGAAAAAACATACAGGAAGTGATTTATTTTGTCACTATACTTTTATGCTTCTGTAATGATGACAATGACATGCTGAAATTCTTATAAAACTAAAATTATTTCAACTTAAAATTATTCTTCAGACATATAGCATAACTGCAGACCAAAGTCAGAAATCAGAAAATCCTCAGGAAAGAAAAACTGTCTTTACAGCAACTGGAAGTAATTACCAATTATGTAGTACACTAATTTACTTTTACCATAAAGTAAATTCTATTACTTTTCATGCTTCTAGGTGTTTCCCACTTTAAGTGCAAAATCATATACAGCCTCTTCTTACAGAAGAGCAAGCACAGGGGTATTTTTAAAGTAATGAATCCTGCCATCGTAATCAAAACATTGACATGTGCATACTTAAAATACTGAAAAAATGAGATTCAGTAAAATGGTGCAATAATGAAAAATGAGATACAGCTTAAATTTGTATTGAAGCAAATTTATGTAGTGCTGAGTTCACAAAGATAGCTATTTTGTAGTTATCTCAGATGCCATTAGCGATTTCTAGCAGATGGAATAGGTGGTACAAGTTTTAATGAATTTGCTTGTCAGTTTAACAAAAAACTTAAGCACTCATTGATTTATCTTCTTTTATATGCTGCATCAGTAATTTGTATCTATTTATTATATAAATTAACTGTTTATAAACAAAGTGGTTTTAATTAAACTTCCTCTATAAACGGTATCCTACAGAACAAATGGGTGAATGGAATGCAACGAAATTTTGTATGTGGGCTATACACGAGATGTGCTCACAGAATTTCAAAAAATAAATTTTAGTGCCAAAATGTCCATCATAGAGCCTTTTCTGGGAAAACATGAAATTTAACACAATAAATGACCAAAACGGAATACAGAAACAACATTAACAATCCAGAACAAGAATTATGAGTAATAAAATGCAAAATCGAGAAAAGCTGTCAGTTGTATGTTTTAATTAAGAAAATAATTAAAACATTACGGTCTTTTAAATAACATAATTACAGTAATGTTTATTGAAGCAATCAGTACTGTGTGATCGCCAGTGATTGAATAATGTTAAAATGCATTGTTCATAAGGAAATTTGCTTATCTTTGTGTTATAGTTTTTATTTTGATACAAGCTGAAATTTGAATTATTTCCTGAATCATTAATCAGGTCAATATATATAACATACAAATTTTCATACAAAATTATTTCTCTGAGCATATTATAAAGAGCTCATTTAATTGTATTATTTGTACAAATTTTAGACAAAAGTAGCATGTAACAGTTAAAGATTTATTGAAGCCTACTTGTTACTTGTGGTAACTAAGAAGTGTGAAAGATATTGTCATATTAGCGAACATGACGATCATTGATGCTTAGTTTAGTAATTTAATAATATACTGAGAAATGCTGGGAACTTTCAGAAGTGGACATTTTGGAAATGAAGGGCCATCATAAGAAATTTACATGGTTTTATTATTTATTTTTTAGTTAAGAACGGATTTTAGATGTTCATGTGAAAGAATTCTGTTTAATTATATGTGAAAGAATTGTTATAAGTTTGGCATTTAAAAAAATGAATTAATAATATGCAATTATCTTTTTATTATACATATATTACTATATATTTTCTAATGTGCAATATGTAAATGTCAGTGCTAAACAATTGACTATACTATTGTCAGGGCAATCTTTTTCTTATACAATGAAAAATTCTGATACTTTCTTGATAATCTGCCCTCACAGCTTCAACTTATGCTAAAACAGCAAGAGTATGTAACACGATAATAGCAAACTATGAATATGCATACCACACACATGTATTTACATGCTTTATATTAATCTTTATTTCTGAATAGTATTCCATTGGATGAAAAATATGTGAATATTGACCCAATATATATATTTTGTGTGTGTGCATCCTAAAATTTCTTGTTTCTTATAAAAGTGCTTATTTGAATTACTACTTGTGAACAGAGCAGTAGATATGAACGATAAACTAACCAAACAACATTTTGCCAATTTTCACAGCTTTGCAGAAAGCACCAAAATTTGTAATAATGTTAAGTTTAAATGATGTTTTTATACTTTTGTGTTAATTTTTCTATTCTATTAATTCTATTATTGTGTTATCAAACTTTCTGTAGGAATTTCAACTGGTTAAGATGTTATTACCATGTGGAGAAGAATTTGGTTTTCAAGCTTGAAAAAATTGCAGCTGAAGGATTTTGTAGAAGGTCAGTCAAACTGGTTTTAGTTAATTATAATTTAATTTTGGGTGAAGAATTCTCAAATTTATTTATCATAAGTGTCTAAAGGTCTTCTAAATTAAATTCTGCTTGTTTTTGAAATTTTTCATGACATTCATTCTTTGATGATGATTATTATTTTTTTTTTTAATTTACTAACTTACGTCCATGCACATAATTGTTGCATTTAATGCCATATCTTAAATATTGTAAAATGTTAAAATAATACATTTCACTTAAAATGTGGTTGTGACAGTAAATTTTCTGTTGACATAATCTGTTACATTTAATCATATCTATAAACACTGGTATACATCATTTTTTCAATAATCTATATATTATTTTGTGCATTTTTTTACAACCAAGATTCTGGCATATGACTTGCTTTTCAAAACTGATAACATGGTGTAATAATGTAATCTAATGGTTAAAAGTTTACTATGGAATGGGCCAAATTTAATAAATTATTCTTTGATAGAAATTTATTCATGTGTTCAGTGAGTCTCATCTCTTTAAATTGCTAAAGTAAATTTTATGCACTTGCATTTAGGAATTTTGACTGTATCAGTAATTTTCAGTTATTATAACATGCAAGGGAAAAAAAATTCATACACAGCTCCGTATTTAAAATAGTTAACTTTCTGAAGCCGGCTGTACAGCAGTT